CTCAGCAACACCAAAAGGCCTGGAAGGCCATGGAAGACAACTAAAGTGGATGACCGTAGAATTCCTTGTTGAAGGAAAACCCTTCTCAACATCTAGCCAAGACAAGAACACTCTGAAAGAGGTAGGCATATACAGTGGTGCTTGAAGGTTTGTAAAGCCTTTACAATTTATATATATATATATATATATATATATATATATATATATATATATATATATATATATATATATATATATATATATATATATATATATATATATACATACACACACACACACACACACACACACATACATATCTATCTGCATAAATATGATAAAACATCAGGTTTTCACAAGTCCTAAAAGTAAAAAAAAAAAAGAACCCAATTAAACAAATGAGACAAATATTATTCTTGGTCATTTATTTCTAGAGGAAAATTATCCGATATAATATATCTGTGAGTGGCAAAAGTATATGAACCTCTATGATTAGCAGTAAATTTGAAGGTGAAATTAGTCAGGTGATTTCAATCAATGGGATGACAATCAGGTGTGAATGAGCACCCTGTGTTATTTAAAGAACAGGGATCTATCAAAGTCTGATTTTCACATCACGTTTGTGGAAGTGTATCATGGCACGAACAAATTAGATTTCTGAGGACCTCAGAAACTTTCAAGCACCACTGTATATTCACTAATTGTTTCAGGAGAGTAAAGAATAAGAGCAAAAAGAGAATAAAACATTATGCTGTGCAAAACCAATGAGAATGATACTTTATCATATGTTACCTGCGAGGTGCAGACTTTGTTGAAGCTGACAAAAAGGGCTGTATTGAGGAAGCAGCAGAGAGGTAAGTCAGCATAGAAGGCCAGAGATGTAAGAAGCAACAATATAACCTGGGGAAGAAAAGTCACTAGACCCAGAACAAAACTCCATTCATTCTCCACAGTTAAGTAAAACATGTAGAAGTATGGGGAGAAATTATGACGAATGTCCCGCCTAGTTAAGTGGTAGAGGTAGGTTTCTTGGAGGAAGTCCCAGCCATACCTAAAAAAAGTAAAGAGAATTTACAGAATTTTAATGCTCAGTTTTTAACAAAGAACCAATGATCTACAGTCCCCTCCTAAACTATTGGAACAGCAAGGTCAATTCTGTTGTTTTCTCAAAACAGGTGCATGTAAAAAAATAAAAAATAATAATGGAATATCATGGAAAAAAAAAAATTCTGTAGTTTAATTCAAAAAGTGGAACTTTTATATATTCTAGATTCAAATGAAAAATGTTTAGCCTTTTTTTTTGTTTTAATCTTGATTACGGCACATGGAAAACAGAAATCGAGTACATCAAAACATTAGAATAAATAATTTATAATACTGAAATGTCGACCTTCTGAAAAGTATGTTAATTTATGCACTCAATACTTGGTCAGGGCTCTTTGTGCACAAATTACTGCATCCGCATGGCATGGGGGCAATCAACCTGTGGTGAGGTGTTGCAAAGGCCAGGTTGCTTTGAAAGCGACCTTCAGCTCGTCTGTATTTTTGAGTCTGATGTCTCTCGTTTTCCTTTTGACAATTCAGGTCAGGCGATTTGGATGTCCTGTCAGGCGATTTGGATGTCCTGTCAGGCGACTTGAAACATTGCACCCAATGTTTAGGTGTGCAAAAGTATAGGAACAGACAGTCTTTACTAAATATTAACTAAAGTAAATTAAATAACACTTAATATTCAGTTGCAATAACTGCATCCACCCATGGACATCAACAAACTGCTGCATTTTTCTTTTGTGTTGCATTTCCAGGCTTGCACTGCAGCTTATTTCAGTTCTTGTATTGAATGGGGTGTTCTCCCTCCAGTCTGCTCTTCAGGAAGAGAAATGCATGCTCAACTGGATTAAGGTCTGGTGAACAACTTGGCCAGTCTAAAATCTTCCACTCTCCCCCTAATGATATCCTTTGTTTTGCGTCATTGTCTTGCTGCATGATGAAGTTCTTCCCGATTAACTTGGATGCATTTCTCTGTAAACTGGAAAACAGATTGATTCTGTAAACTTATGAATTCCTTCCGCTGCTACCATCATGAATTACATCAATAAAGATGATAAACCATTCCAGAAGCAGCCATGCAAGCCCAAGCCATGAGACTACCTCCACTATGCTTGACTGATGAGCTCATATGTTTTTGGATCATGAGCAGATGGTTATATATAAAAAAAAAAAAAAAAAAAAAAAAAAAAAAGGATCCAAACCTAGGGCTCAATCCAAGAGTAGATATTCAGTTATTCACTCTTTAAACATTCAATATAACAGGGCACACCTTTAGCAGCAAGAAACACCTATTAGTCACATGTTCCAATATTTTTTATCCCTTGAAATAATGTGTGGGTTCAAACAAAAGCTGCCATGTTCTAAGTTCTTTAACACATCTAGATGTAAATATGAGGAAATGAAAGCTGAAATTCTATCATCTCATTTATCTTTTGATCTCAACCCCAAATGTCTTCAATGTATGGCAAAAACAATAGAATTGTCCTTGCTGTTCCACTTTGTTCAGAGGGGACTGTACATTGTCTGTAAAAAAAAAAAAGTAGGTTTTTTTTTTGTTTTGTTTTCCTTTTTACAAATAAAACTGGTGGAAATGTGCATTATAACCATCTGAGGACAGACTGCAGTCACAAATCTGATCACTAGGGGGTAATATTTAGCAACTAATGGTTGCTGAATATTAAAGGAGCTGACATTTTTTCCCCTTCATCTTTTGTTCAGTCTATAAGTGCAAGTTCAAGGTTAACATGATAAATGAAAAAACAAGGCACACTTTGTCCAATCAGATTTCACCAGACATTTTACAGGCTTATCTTTGACCAACGATCAATAAATTGAATCCACTCAGACACAGGACTGCAAGACGGACAAAACACGAGGCAAAATTTACTTGGAGGAATTTACATCCTTTTGTGCTGTGGAGCTACACTGACATTACGATCAACTGACACATAAAAGCACTTCCAAATCAGAAGCATATAATAAATGTTACCATATCCAGCTTAAAAAGAAAGCCAAAGCCATCCACAGAAAGCAGACTGAGGATCACTTCAAGTATACAGACACCCAGTACATGTGGCAAGGTACACCATCTGGCCAAAAGTATGTGGACACCTGACCATCAGACCCATATCTGAGTCTTGCCCAATCTGCTGCCATAAAGTTGGACACAATTGTCTTGAATGCTACATCAGTAAGATTTCTCTTCAATGGAACTAAGGATCCTAAATCCGTTCCAACATGACAATGCCCCTGTGCACAAAACGAGGTCCATAAAGACATGGTTTCCCATGGTTGGTTTGGAAGAACTGAACTCTGCAGCCTTGTTCTCGGGCACTGTAGATCGCACCAATGTGGGGCTGGTATCATTTGAAATTTACTTATGACCCCTTTTTAACTGTTACAGCGTGGTTGTGTAATCATATAACTCAGTGTGTGTTGGTCCTCGTGGCTGAAAGGACAAATCCCCAAAGTCACGTTCCAAAATCTTGTGAAAAACCTTCGCAGAAGAATAGAGACTGTTATAGCAACAAAGAGGGCACCAAGTCCATATCAACCGATTTGGAATGCGATGTTCACATATGGGTGTGAGGAGTGTGAAGGTGTCCACATACTTGGCCATTTGTTGTATCTAGTCCATTACTGATAAGAACATCAGTTATGGCTGTCCCTCCAGAGAGACACTGATGGTACAGTACTGAGCTAAATGGGTGGCATAAGTTTTGACAAATCATACATCTGTTATCTGTCTCTGCACATCACATACATCATTAAGTCTGCAGAAGATGCAATGGTAATTTAACTTATTTCTGGCAATGAAAAAAAATCAGCTTACAGAGAGGGATGCTCAGAGAACAACTGACTTAACACCAGCAAGACCAAGTAGCTCATCATTGACTTCAGGTAGTCTAGATATGATTACTATGCAAGTCTTCATCACTGGAGACCAGCGAGAGATCGGCTTTTGCTTCCTGGGTCCACATCTCAGAGAAAATCTCATGGGCAGTCAATACCAGCAGAGGCTGTATTTTCTGAGAAGGTTCAAGAAAGCCAAGGTGCCCCAACAGCCACTGGTGACCTCCTACTGAACCACAGAAAGCATACTCTATTCTATTCTGGCATGATATTGCAGTTGCACATAAGCCAAAAAAAGATTCCATAGCAGGCTATGAGCAGTTCTTAGTCATCTGGACCCAAATTCCAACCTTCATATTTTACAGGTCACACTGCCTATATAAAAACCAAACACCTGCATGGATCCCACTCAAACTTGTCATCTAGCAGGTGGGTACAGGAACACCTACTCAGGCACTTTCAGACTGAAAAAGAGAGTTACCAGAATTACCATCATAATTAAATCGGACTGACCCACTAGAATTGCATCCTCCACATGTCCACTAAACATGTTGTTCAATCACACCAATTAAATACATGGAGGTTACAACAACGCTTGTTTCTGCCACTGCGAAAATGTCCCTGACATGTATATACAGTTTTACTGCTGTTTTTCTACTGTTCCATTGCAATATTGTACTACTGACTGTAAAGTCACTATTGTACTATTTGTACTGGCAATGTTGCCTTTTAGAACTTGCAGATACAGGACTGTACATTTCCTATTTATTATGTATATACTGTATTCTTTATTCATTAAACAATGAGAGATGTAAACCTAATTGTGTTGTACTTGTATGATGACCTACTCCATTCCAACTTTGCAGGCTGCCAGTTAAAGAATGGAAAAATGTAAAAACCTTCACACAAGAAATTCTGAAATCTTATACAGTTGCAATCAAAATTATTCAGCCACCATTGCAAATCAGGTCTATTGTCAATTTACATACTATCAGCTGTTTACAATGAACAAATCAAACTAAAGCATTTGAAATTGTTCAACACAAAGAATGCTTCAAGTAGTTTCCCCAAATTTAACTGAAAATGCTTATCATGATTTCTCCAGGGGGGCGCACGGTGGCTTAGTGGCTTAGTGGTTAGCACGTTCGCCTCACACCTCCAGGGTCTGGGGTTTCAATTCCCGCCGGCGCCATGTGTGTGTGCGGAGTTTGCATGTTCTCCCCGTGCTGCGGGGGTTTCCTCCGTGTACCCCAGTCCTAAATTGCGTGCCTAAATTGTCCATAGTGTATGAGTGTGTATGTGATTGTGCCCTGCGATGGACTGGCACGCCTTGTGCCCGATGCTTCCTGGGATAGGCTCCAGGTTCCCCGCGACCCTGAGATGGATGGATTTCTCCAGTTTCAAAATAATTCAACCCTCTGAACAGAATCCCTCATAACAGTACAACTTTGCAAAACAGGTGTTGTCTCAAGTACACCAGATGCAACTAAGGGCTTCATTAGTTTCACTTAGGGGTGTACTCACTTTTGTTGCCAGCGGTTTACATTTTGAGGGGACAGCAAATTTACACTGTTACACAAGCTGTACACTCACTACTTTATATTGTAGCAAAGTATCATTTCTTCAGTGTTCTCATGAAAAGATATAATCAAATATTTACAAAAATGTGAGCGGTGTATTCACTTTTTAGAGATACTGTAAATAAGCCACAGAAGTTTTGGGATTCTGTTCTGTGGAACAATTAAACAAAACTGGAACTTTTTTGTACGATGGATCAGCAGTATGTCTGGAGAAAGAAGACAGAAAACTCTATCCACAGTCAAGCATGGTGGTGCTCTAGGGCTGATTTGCCTCCTCTGGCATTGGAAACCTGCAGCATCTGGAAGGCAAGATGGATTCATTGGAGTATCAGGAAATGCCAGGAGAAAACATCATGCTGTCTGTGAGAAAGCTGAAGCTTGGGTGTCATTGGACCTTCAACAGGACAATGATCCAAACCATATCTTAAATTCTACCAAGGCTTGGTTGCAGAAGTTGTCCTGGAAGATTGTACAGGGCCATAAGTCACCTGACTGAATCTCTGGTGGGATTTGAAGAATACGGTTGTAGCACACAAACCCAAGAACATTACTGAACTGGAGGCCATTGCTCATGAGGAATGAGCCAAGATTCCTCAGGAACGCTGCCAGAAGCTATGCATCTTGTTTGCAGCAGGTCATAAGAGCAAAACTGTTCTCTACTAAATACTAAAGATACTTGCCATAAAGGGGTTGAATAATTTTGAAACCGGAGAAATCATAAGAAGTTGCATTTGTCAGTTGAATTTAGGGAAACCACTTGAAGCATTCATTGTGTAACTTTCAATTGCTTTTGTTTGATTTGTTCATAGCAAACAGCTGGAAGTCTGTAAATTTTGACAATAAACCTGATTTGCAATGAGTGTTGTATAATTTTGATTGCAACTGTATTTTTAATCAAACTATTAATTGGCTCTCTTCACCTTATTGTAACTTACATGCAATAAAAAGTCAAAGTCAGTCCAAGAAACATAGCTCCTGCAACAGCAGCAAATAGAGCCAGATCCTTACTGAAAAGGCTTTGGATAATCCTAAGACCACCTCTGTAATGGTTCTTCAATTCCTTGTGATTTGATATAAAGAGGGCGATGGGAAGGGCATATATTACTGTATAGATTTTCATATGGACAGAGAGACCATAGAGAAATGCTGCTGTAAAATGTCTCTTCAGTTGTAAACACAGGAGAGAGGACAGAACCAAAATAGCCAGCAGTGCTTCAGCATTCCCTCGTGTTGATACACCAATTGGTAAAGGATTAAGGAGCCAAAGAGCTGAGAAACGACAGGCTGCATCACTGGATAAACCTCGAAGAGTCAATATGTGGTATAAGAGGACACCGGAGAGTACATCACAAATCACAAACAGCAGCTTCCCAAAATGAGGGGTCAAGTAGATGCTAGGTGATAACATCCACGCCAGGAGTGGTGTATACCGATATGTGGACCTGTTGTATGGAGACTCACCCTATGAAAGCAAGAAGGTTACAATCAAAACACTGTTTCAAATCATAATAAAATAATTTCATTTCTTAAACATCAGTAAAACAAATGCAGAAGAAAAACTTTTGTACTTGTGCTCAGAAACTTCATTTAAGGTCTAAGTGATGAAACCATTTTGAAATTACCACGGAACAAGTATGGAGACATTAGCAGCTTGAAATAATTTACTTCTACTGATAAATCTATTAGGAAGATATACATATATTCTAATGGTTTCGACTACAAATACCATTACAAACCATTAAAACAATTACTGGTCATTAATGGTATCCACTAGGCATAACATGAAGGCAACAAATTACTATTAAAGAACCACAGGGACCATCACAGTTTCCATTAAAACCAATACAATTCCCATTAAAACCATTAGAAATTCTATTGAGGGTTTCTATTGTTTCCCCCCTACCAGGAAGGTGATCAATCCCGTGAAAGCAAGAAACATGATATTTTTTAAACCATAACATGAACATTTAAAAACCTATCACCCTTACCAAGGAACGACGCAATATGATCGAAAATATAACGATATGGGGCCTTTAGGTGCCTGGTTTCATTACTACATCTCACGGGTCATGTCTCCTGCAGAGGAACTCACCTGCGTTACAAGTCTGGATGCGTCGATAAACACGTGAAAGTCGATGTCAGTGTATTTGACTACCATGGTTTTGTCTTGATAAATCCCAAAGCCAACCAAAAATAAACGTATAACAAATGCGACGCTGTGCAGGGTCCCAAAATTCATTCGTTGGAATGAAAACATGTTGCCACGTGACATAATTAACTGGCTGTTAGTGAACAAAATAAGCAAATGCCACAATCATCTGCGAGCTCCGTTAATCTCCTGGATCACTTCGCCATCGACTCTAGTGGGTTCATCTTAAAATATCCGCCACGTGCAAGATTCCGGTTTAGGTGAACTTTAAGTAAATCTAACCACATTTTAAGTAAAGTAAAAACACAGGCTACATCAGAAACAACGGACAAGTTAACTCGTTTACTTCCTGGTGAAAGAGAGGGTTTTTTCCTTCCAAAATAAAAGTCATATCCTTACTAATAATAGGGGGCGCTGGAGGGATGATTATGGGGAATTACGTTAAAGACCAGCATTTTGATCATAAACACGAAAAGCACAGGTACTTAAGTGAGAGCTGGATAAAAAATACAAGGCAAAATAAACGTGTGATATCACAAGTTATAATTGTAATATTATGTAATTTAAAGAAACAAGTACTCTTATAAACTAGTAAACATCGTTATATGACATATTACCTTGGTGCAATTTTCCGGGGCTGAGGGGACCCCCATAATATTATTATAAATATACACCCATCAGTCCTAACATTAAAACCACTGACAGGTGAAGTGAGTAACATTGATTATCTCGTTACAGTGGCACCTGTCAAAGCTTGGAATGGGGATATATATATATATATATATATATATATATATATATATATATATATATATATATATATATATATATATATATATATATATATATATATATATATATATATATATATATATATACACACACACACACACACACACACACACACACACACACACACACACACACACACACAATCAATTGCTATGAGCGCTTTTGGACTACAAGTGCAAGTTCAAAAACTAATTTTGCACTCAAGTCATCCGTGAACAGTTGATAACTTCAACAAAATAGACTTAATGTAAAAACTATAATGCATTTTGTGGTTACACAATTGTACTTTTTGACCATGTAGTACACAGTTATAGAAGGGATTTATTTATAATTGCACTATTTGTTGTTACCCAGATGAGGTTGGGTTCCCTTTTAAGACTAGTTCCTCTCAAGGTTTCTTCTTTATATCGTCTCAGGGAGTTTTTTGTTGACACTGTTGCCTCTGGCTTGCTCATTAGTGATAAACTTAGAAATGAAAAATGTATATCCTCAATTTATTTATTTATGAAAAGCTGCTTACAGGACTTAAATGATCTGCTACTAAAGTCTTGGTGCCAGATACCACAGCACACCTTCAGAGGTCTATTTGAGGCCATGCCTCGATGGGTCAGAGCTGTTTTGGTGGACAATGGGGACCTACATCATATTAGGCTGATTTTATTACTGTTGCTGATCAGTGTAGAAATAATAATTACATAAACCTGAAGGACAAAAAATTTAAACGATGCTGCCAAAAAATGCAAGAACTGCACTATTTTAAAATGCATTATAAAACTGAATGCAAGGAGTTCATCTGTAAAACCTTATTGAGCTGCGCTGTCCTCAGTGGAGCGCGGTAACATATAGCTCTACAGAGACGGAGAGAGAGAATGCAGACAGACACAGAGAGAGAGAGAGCGAGAGTGTAGATTATTATGCTTGCTCTGGTTGTTTAGTGGTTTAAAAGGATGTAATTCTACATGTACACTTTGTGCACAAAGTTCAAGCAGGGGCTCTGACAAGACTGACTATGACAGCTACCTACATTTCACCTATATTTGATCACTCAAGTATACCTTTCTCTCCCACAGTTGCCTTTCCTGTAACTCTTGGATGCCCATAATTACTAAATCAAAAATCTTATATCCTGAACAATCTGTTGCACTCACACCATAATGTAGTCTTCTCACTTTTCCGTTGGGAAATTCCCTGCCTCAGTTTTTCAGCTTTTTTTTTTTTTTTTTTTTTTAACTTGCAAGTCAACACTTTAAGCTGACAGCCTTCCCCCTAACAAGAAGAAGAAGACAAAGAAGAAGAAGAGTCAATGGTGTTTAAATGACACGTGAAAATATTTACAGATGAGTCAAAAGATCAACAATCCGGTTATGCAGGATTAGCATTTTTAATAAAAGAATTGAAGATAAAAAAGAATAATAGAGAGTGAGAGATCTATAGTATACATATACACTGCAGAAATGATTGGGATAGTCTGAGCTTTATGGTTTGCAGAAGAGACAAAACATGGGAAAGTAATCATAGGCTTTGATTGCAAATTAGGAAAATACTTGCATTGGCAAGTACTCAGACAAAAACATCACACAGTAGACAGGATATTTTAAAGAAGGACTTACAAATATACAGATAATTAGAGTAATTATAAATTCAAATTAGGTTTGTGCATGTTCAAGCACA